TGGGGGCTGCCAGCTTCTCCTCGGTCTGCTTGGAGGGCTCCTCGGGACAGGGCGTGTGACACAGGCCAGCTTTGGGGCCTTGTTCCCACTCAGAAGTGAGCGCACAGCGGGGACAGGGGCCCAGGGCAGCGACCGAGGGCAGGGGAGGTCCCAGGATTGGGCCAGTCACTCCGCTGCTGCTCTTTTACAGAGCTTTTTGCTACAGGGCATGAGTGCTCACCTGAGAGACAGAGGCAGAGACAGAGGGACAGTGAGAAATCACCGCCCGGGAGAGGGCCACACCGCAATCCCTTCTCCTCCATTCTCCTCTCGGGATCTTGGGCACGCATGCACACACACCTGGTGTGTTTCAAGCGCAGGGTCTCAGACTCGAACTGCGCATGACCATGTGGGACTCCAGTGACAACTGCCACGCCATCTGCTGGTCCCAGTTGCTGCTTCTTTTAATGTTTTTAAAATGTGTTTTCCTTCCATGAGTGAGAGAGAGAGACGGAGCCCCTACAGGGCCTGGATGCAGGCTCCAGCCCCCATCACGGCATGTGCAGGCCTGGTACAGGCAGTGAGGTCTCCAGCCATAAGCCCAGGATGTCCCAGGTCAACCTCGCAGCGTTCACCCCTGCAGGGCCACCATCAGGCCCTGGGGTGCTTCCCCTGTGGCCTTGGGGATGCCAAAAGTGGTGTAAATGCCACCTGTCCATTTCCACTGTCACAGGAGCTCGGGTGGTGCTGGGCAGCCACCGAGGGCAGGGGAGGTCCCAGGATTGAGGCTGTCTGCAAGCCTCGAGGGGGGTCTGGCCCCATTTCCCTGAGGAAGAGCCCCAGTGGCAACGGCTGGCCCGGAGCAGTGGCTGCTGCAGAAAGACCAGGGCGGCAGCGGGCGGTCTGTCTGCGAGAGCTCTCCAAGGTTTAACCAGTGCCGGGACAGAGGCACCCTGTCTGAGCAGGGAGGAGCAGGAGCGGCCCAGGAAGGGTGGTTTGCCGGCCTCTGTACTCACAGCCCAACCCAGACGGCCCAAAGTCAGAGCCTTGGCCAGTGCCGCTGGCTGCCGAGCGGGGCTGCTGGTGCTCACAGCACAGCGTGTGTCCTGGTGCTGCTCCGACCCGGTCTGAGCCCCAGAGGCTCCCGGAACAGCACCGAGCAGCCCGTCCTGCCCTGGCCCACTGGGTACAGATCCTGTCTGAGAACAGCAACGGTCCTGCTCAGCCCTGCTTGGACCAGATAACTGTGAGACGAGGAAGTGGCAGGGCCTGCCTTCTTATTCGTTGATTAAACTTGGTATAGAGTATGCACTTGCCAGGGGGAGACTGAGACAGAAAGAGGGAGGGGGAAAGGGAAAGCACCGCCCCGGGGTGGTCCCACAGCAATCCCACCCCACTCGCTCTGGACTTGGGCATGCGTGCCACTCGGTGTGCTTCCCAAACTGCCGGGTCGGGACCCCGGCTGCACAGTTGGCCACGTGGGATCCGCCCCCTAACCATCACAGCACCAGCTGGCTCTGATTTGTTTACTTTTTCAAGGCTAGAAGGCTCGTGTGCCCGCTAGAGACAGAGAGGGAGCGGGAGAAGAGGAGGGCACCCCCGGGGCACGGGCACGGTGCCGTCCTCCTCTGTTCTCCGTCCTGCTGGGAGCTGAGCGCTCACACGTGCCTGGCGTGTCTTTTGAGCCCTGGCTCAGGGAGTCAGACTGTAGTCAGCCACGCGGCGTCTGGCTCCCTCCACCCGGGCTCCAGGGCCAGTGCCGCGATGTGTCTTAAGAGCAATATTCCTCCTCCTCCTCCTCCAGGACAATGCGTCTTCACTCTGGCTGCTCCTGGGTCTCTCTGTTACCCTTCCCCGATCAATACTTTTACCAATGAAGGCTTGTTTTCCTTAACAACCTGCAAGCGTGTGCTGCCTGTCCCTCTGAGTCCGTGCCGACGTGAGGAGGCAGTTGAGTGTCCATCCTTACTTTTTAGGCTGGGGGACTCGGGAGGAGCAGGCAGTCGGCGCGATCCAGACCAACCTCAAAGAGCCTCGAGCAGCAGCCCTGGGCCCCCGGGCCGGGAGCTCTTCCAGGAGGCCCACCGCTCTGTCTACACCGGGAGGAGAGAGCTGGGTAAGGAGCACGGGGCTCCGCTGTCGCCTTATTCTCAGCCCTGGTGGCTCTCCAGCTTCCCGGGCTTTCCCGGCTGCCGCAGGGCGGGGTGTGGCGGTGGCTGGGCGGGTTCCTCGTCTCCCACCGGCTCGAGAACACCCCAGTTAGACCCACAGTTACAGGGCCTGGTCTCATTTACCGGCTCGGAAGCCAGCCTGCCCTGCTGGACAGCACAATCGTAAGGGCCGACGTGGGCCGAGACCTCGCCTGAGCCCACAGGAATTCACGTCCCACAGACATCTGTAAATGAGTCGAGTCCCGGTGGGTTTCTGGGTAAAGCGATCCAAGACTGGGGGAAGAGGAGGGATGGCCCGTGCGGGCAGCCAGCTGTGTCAGGATGCCCGGGACATGGGGACACGCCTGCCCTGCCAGGAGCTGTCCCCACCACACCAGCCCAGATCTGGGTGCGCTGTCTGGAAGGACTTTCGCTGTCTTCTGAGTCCTGCATCCCCAGGCCTGACAGCAGAGGGGCGAGTGAGCGTGTTCTCAGTGACCAGCCCGCCCCGAGCTGTGTGGCTCAGCAGTGAGCTTTACACACGTCTGCTGGCCACCAGGGCGGGGCCTTCCACTGCTGTCGGTGAGGCTGACTGCCCCTCGAAGCAGTCTCATAAAGGATTCCACATGGGGCTGGCAGGTGGAGTGGAGGTTAAGGCACTGGACTCCCACGTGACTGACCACAGTTCAAGCCCCTGGGGCGGGATTTGAACCTCAGTCAGCCATGTGGGGTTTGGCTCCCTCAACTACAAGGCTATGGGGCCGGCACGGCAATGTGCGTTTGAGTCCCGGACCTAGCAGCTTGCTTTCTCATGTTCCCTTTTTCTCTCTCCCTCTAGTTAAATTTAAAAAATACTAACGAAATTAAGTAAGTGATATAAATCTTAACAAAGGAAAGAAAGGAAAGAATTGCACAGCAGCCCGTGGGTGTGGTAATTCCGTCTGCCCACCGCTTTCCCTCTGGTCTTCTGCTCAGGCGTCTGCCGCCACGTCCATTCCCTAGTCCCTCAGCTTTCCTAAGTCAGAGAAGAACACCGTGTACGAGCCTCGCGAACAACCCGTGTGGGAGCGTCCTGCACCTGGGACGCTACAGGGACGTGGAGGACAAGCCCAGACCTCGCGCTGGGCCCGTCCACCAGGGCGCTCGCTGGTCCCCGTGCACGCTGACCACGCGCGAGTGGTGTGTAGTTCCCCTTTCATCAGCTCCCGGGCCCAGGGGCCACGTGGGAACGGAACCTGTGGTGAGCGACCTCACCACAAGGAACCCCACCCCTGCGTACCTTCTGCACTGCTGGTAAACACGCCGGAGTGGTAAACGCGGGTCCGCACAGGGGTGAGGGGTGGCATTGCCACACCCGCCTCAGGGGAGGGCCGCATGCAAAACCCACACCTCTGTCGAAACGGGTGAAGCAACGCAGGGTTTGGAAACAGGATGGCCACACCTTCCGCGCGGCCTGCGCGGCTGTGCACGAGGGAGGACGGCTCGAGGAGCCCACGGAGAGGAAAATGGGAGGACTGCGGGTGTGGACGGGGAGGGCTGCGAGGGCGAGGGGAATGCCCCAGCCGGCCACCACCCTCCTGCGCTGTGTCGCGAACCTATGCCGCACTCTGCTCTCATGACGTGCTCCACCACCCAGCGTGCACTGGGCACACGGGGTCCTGAGCGGTGGCGACGGCCGGCCCCGGTCAGACGTGGATACGCCCACAGGCCCTCCTCCAGTCTGTGCACGTGGTGTCACCGGGCACACGGCTCCCCAGGGTCTCCGACGACAGGCACGTGACGCCGGGAGCCCCCAGGGCTCGGACACCGTGAAGCGGAGCCCCTGGGGAGGGCCGAGCTGCAGCTTCACGAGGCCGTCTAAAGTGACTTACTCGACCGCAGTGCCCTGTAATTTTAGGTGACGGCTGTTACTACGGGCAGCTCACGGCGTTTCTGAACCCTAACTATTGGCTCTCGCCAGCATGTGTGCATGGGGCCCGCAGGTGCGGGGCAGAGGTGAGGGGTGGGGCTGTGCTTGGCCATCTGTCGTAGTCCAGACGGGAGCTGCGCCCACAGGGCAGGGGGTGGTGGCCACCCAGCTGATGTGACCACGTAGGGGAAGTGCTGGCACAGCATCGGGGCGGTGTGCGAGACCCTGGTGCGGACTGCTGTACAGACACTGTCGGGTTCGCAGCTAGTACGTGGGAGCCCTAGTCCCCAGCGTGGCAGTATTCAGAGCAAGGAAGTGACTGAGGGCAAGTGAAGCCCCCGCGTGGGCCCCGAGTCTATGGATTAGTGTCCTTGTAAGAAGAGACACTGAAGGAGCAGCAGGTGGCAGAGCAGTTAAGGAGCTGGATTCCCACAGGGGCGACTGCGGTCTGAGTACTGTACCTGGAGGCTTGGAAATCATGCTGGGTGCGTGTGCATGTGTGCCCAAAATCCCAGGAGGAGAATGGAGAAGGGATTGCAGCGTGGCCATCTCCCAAGGGGTGACTTCTTGCTTTCTGTCTCTGTCTCCTTTCCTCTCTCTCTGGCAAGCACACACATCCTACAGAAGAAAGCCTTTAAAGAAGAGACAGAAGAGCACTCTCTGCCCAGGGGCACGCACAGAGGAATGCCCACGTGCGGGTGCAGGGGGCAGGCTGCCGGCCGCCTGCGAGCCGGGACGAGGGCGCTGCCCAGGACGTTCAGGCTCAGCCCCACCTCCGGCACCTTGGCATCGAGGGCAGAAGCGGGAGGCGGCTCTCAGCTTCCCCTCGCCCACGTGCCACTCGTTCAAGAAGTCCCTTCCACGGGCACTGTTACTGACGGGACGATAACAACATCCATTCTGAGTGAAGAAACCGAGCCCAGGGAAGCTAAGTGGCATGTCCAAAGTGCGCGAAGTGACCCCGGTGGGATCCGACCCGTGCAGTCCGCCTCCAGGTGGGCTCCCCACAGCCACCCTCACAGCTCTGGCTCCCCGAGCTTCTCCTACCTGGGCGGGCACAGCCCCTCCCACTCCCAGGGAGGTCTGCTCCACCCGGTGTAGACAGACGCGAGTTCGGTTTTCTTGTGGCCCTTTTACTCTGCTCTTTGTCAATTACAGGCGCATGCGGACTCTTCTGTTTACACCGGGGGTGGGGTCTTCGCTTGCATCCCCGGCTCCTGACAGACACGGCTGCAATTACGAGTAACCTCCCCTTTCCCCACTCATCCCCCTGCCGCCGTAGCCTGTGCACCTGTGCTCTCTTGCCTTTTTGGGAAACCTGGTTCATCTGTTGTCTGCTATTTCTCTTGGGTGTTGAAAACATGACTTATCTGTGCACTCGCTTGATGAATCGATCGCACACTGACCCAACAGCATTTTTAGAGAGTGCAAAAGTGAGTAACTTCACCAAAACCCTCTGGGAACTGACTGTCTGGGGATGTAACGGCATCTTGTAAAAACCACTCCGAGGGGCCGGGCAGTGTCCTCAGGAGTTACGAGTACTATCTCAGTTCATCTCCATAGCAAGACTAGGACGGAGGTGCTATTTTTATCCCTGGTTTCATATGAGGCAACGAAGCACAGAGAGGTCAAGGAACTTGCCCAGCGTTACTTCACTGGTAAGCAGAGGGTCGGGAAAGTCAGCGGGCTGTTCCACTTTTGTGCAATCACTGTTAATTATCGTAGGGAGATGCAGGGTTCTGTGGGAACTCTTGGCAAGGCCATTGGATGGGCCATGCAGTCAGGAAAGATTCTGGAAGGAGTGGTTTCCAGACAATTCCTGGAGCGGAGAAGGCGTGGGCTGGGCAGGGGGCTGTGAGTGGGCTGTAGGGGTGGGAGGAAACGGGCGGCAGAGGAAGCAGCAGCACATAGAGCCAAAGAAGCCGCCAGGCACATGCTGTGTGCTGGAAGCCGGGAAACCTGCGGGTGGTGGGAACCGAACGGGACAGGAGGGCGTGGGCAGTAGAGCGTCCTCAAGTTGGAAGGTCAGCAGAAGCCATCGTCCCCTGCCTTGTGTAGCACCTCAGGGAATTTCACTGTGGTCTAAACATGGGATAAGGTGCTGAGGGCTTCCAGCAGGAGAGAGCTCGCTGTGGCTGCTAGGTGAGGATGGCTGGTATTCTCTCAAGATCTTCCCTCCTCCGAAGGGTGGGTTGGACAGACTCACAAAGAGTTGGACAAAGATGTGAGGCACTGATGTCATGTTGTTGAATGGCTAACTTTAGTGGGAGCTCACAAAGCTCTTGCAAGCACAGCACAACTAAGAACATGAGTGGTCTACACCGTGGCCTTCAAACATGCTAAGATATTTGGTGAGGGAGCTGGCCTAAACCATCCCGACTCCATTTGCAATTCAGATGGAAATGGAGCGAGAGTGGCCCCGGCACGGACCAGGGCTCTTGGAGCAGCCGTGTGGGAAACGACACGGGCTTTGACAGAGCGGAGAAACGGCGGGCAGAAACAAGGGCCAGGTGCTGCTTCTGAGCGTGGTGGACAGGAGGCGGAAGGAGGCCTGACTGCCACCTGGCTTTCGGCTAACTTGTCAGTCTCCCAGGTTCACGTCGAAGGCTCTGATGGAAACTGGACAGAAAATAGGTTAGACTTAATATCCACACAACACACAGAGGAGAAAGAAGACCTCCCCCAAACCGTGATTACGGCATTCCCAAACGTCCTCGCCACTCACGAAGGCCTGAAGGAAGGTCGAGGGGTTTGTAAACACGGCAGACGTCGGCGTGGCATCTCTGTGCCGGGTCGGGTAGAGGTAAGCTAGCTTTCATACAGCTCTGCTGGCCAGTCTCACGCACCACGGACCCGCCCCTTTAGAGCTCAGCTCAGAGATGCTCAGCATATTCAGAGTTGAGCAGCCAGGGCAGGATCTAATTTCAGAACATTTCATCTCCCCCAGAGACACCCTGTGGCTATCAGCAGTCACTTCTCAGAGCTCCTCCCCGCACCCCAGCTCCAGACGGTCATTAACGCACTTTGTATTTCTGCATTTGCTTATTCTGGACCGGTCCTACGAAGAACATCGTATGGTAGGCAGTCTTTCATGGGGGCGTGGTCCTTCCTCCAGGATTTACAGTCTGGTTGCAAAACAAGGCGCTTAAGAAGACAAGTTACGGGACAGGACGGGGTGTGATCAGGGCGAGGAGTCTTACAGTGAGAGTACTGTTCAGGCCGGAAGATGCAGGACAGTCTGGACTGCTCAGAGATTAGGGGTACTAGTTAGCAGAGGGTGCTCTGCAACGTTGACAGCTGAGTTTCCGCAGTCCCCACTTGCAATGCCATGGTCTGGAAATACCAGGATGCCTGAAAACGCCTTTGCTGATGGGCCCCAGGGTGGAGTGGGCTGGAGCTCCGAACCCCTGGGGTAGGAAAATCCCAGCCCTGCATTTAACCCCTTCTTTGATCACTCCAGAGAACACGGCAGGGCACACTCGAGTCCGTCACCCCACCTCCCAGAATGCTGTCGCAGAGGTTCGTGCCCAGCACACTCCCCACAGCTGGTAATCAGAGGCAGAGAGAAAGCTTGCTCTTTGCATGCATTTCCATAAGAGTCTGGAATAGTCTTAGATCTCTGCTCTGATGCCTAAATGTAAACTGTAAAACAGAACAGTATGTATTCACGAGTGAGGTAGGTGCCTATGTACACGTGTACACATATGAATCTGTAAAGCGTTTTTCTGGGAGAACAACGACAAAATATCTCATGGAATTTGCACCGTTTAGAGGAAAAGCAAGCTGCAGGAGTTAAATGTAGCACGATCCTGTTTTAGTTCAAAGGCAGGTGTGCATTTGCGAATGCAATTGTGCGTGTACGTGCGTAACCCCCTCGGAGTTCATTGAGCCTCTTCGGTAAAAAGTGTGTCTTTCATCTGTTGTGGACAATTCTCATACCTTATGTTTCCTTTTTCTGCTTTTATTTTGAAATTACAGAGCCATAGGAAGCTACAACAATAGTACAAGGGGTTTCCATCCCTTTACCCGATCTCTCTCGGTGGCTACATTTTCTACCTGTAGTGCAGCCCCAGAACCTGCTTGGAACCTGCCTGTCCTTCGTGAGTAGCCACGCTGAACATCTTAGTGTGCACATGCTGTCTGTAGATCTTTGGTGAAGTGTCCAAATTCTTGCTCTTCTTTGAATGGGGTTTTTCCTTTCTTCCTTTCTCTCATTCTTTCTTCTGTGATTTGCTAGAGGGTGCGTGTGCTCTAGCACACGTGACAGGGAGAGAGAAGGTGCCCCCGTGGGCGACGGTCACACCACAGTCCCTTCTCCTTTGCTTTTTCTTTAGGAATTTGGGCACATGCGCTCGGGCATCGGCATGCTGTTCAAGCCTCCAGTCTGAACGTCCAGGTGCACAGTTGGCCAAGTGGGACCCAGCACCCTGGCCACCGCGGCCCGGGCTGGCCCTCACTCTCACCACGGCACCGTCCTCCCGCCACCATTGGCTTCGTTTGTTTATCCGGCAGGCTCTTGCTCTGTTGCCCAGGCCAGCCCTAAGCTCGCAGCCACCCGCCCATGCCCCGGCCTCAGTCTCCACATGTTGCCGGCATTGCAGTACGAAGCAGTGCGCCCACTCTGGGCTGGGCTGGCCGGGACTCCCACCGGGGCCCAGAGGGCTCAGGGCCCTCGCAGTGCCGTGCTACTGTGGCTGGAACGGCTTTCCTTTCTTGTCTTAAGATTCGCGAGTTCTTCACACATTTCGGGTATCGCCTTTACCCTCTATCTTTTCTTTCTTAGTCTCTTCTCCAAGGTTCTCTTTTTTCATATTTTCTATTTCTTTATTTCCCTGAACTGTACTCTTTTTTTTTTTTGTAAAAAATTATTTAATTTAATTTATTATTATTTTACTGGGCCGGGGATTTGGGGCACACACAGTATGCCTGGTGTGATTTTCAAGCCAAGCCTGGGACTCGAACTGTGGTTGGCCGTGTGGGAGTCCAGCATCTTAACCAGTGCTTCACCCGCTAGCCCCTCCCATTTCTGTGTTCCTGTGAGCATATTAAACATCTTACAGTCCGGGCCTAGTAATTTTATGTGGGAGTCCAGCATCTTAACCAGTGCTTCACCCGCTAGCCCCTCACATTTCTGTGTTTCTGTGAGCATATTAAACATCTTACAGTCCGGGCCTAGTAGTTTTATTAGATGAAATTAATAAGTGGTCGTCTGTAATTTCTTTTACAAGTTTTCTCCAGGTCAATGGCTTTTAAAACATATTTTATTGTGACACGAAACTTAGGTAAGGAGAAGTGCATAAAACAAAGGCGCGGCTGATGAATTATCGAAAGCCGGATACGCTGCTACTTCTGCCCGGTTGCGAACAGAGCTTCGGACAGCCGCCAGAAGTCCCTCCATCAGAGCCTTTAAACATTTGGTCATTGGAAAACCCATGACACATTTTTCATAGGAAAACATGGGAAAACGCGTCAGGACTTCCCTGAAGTCCCGATATTAACGACCGCATGGTAGACACAGCCGTGGCACGTCCATTTCTCTGTCTTGCTAAGGTCTCGGCCTTTTAGGATCTCGGATGATCACGACTGTGTGAACAAGTGCCGGGCAGTCTGTGCCAAAGCAGCGGGTGCCTCTCGAGAAGCGGGTGGGATTGGGCGAGGGCGGGTGTGGGCGCTGGTAGTCACCTGCGCTCGCTCTCCTCCCTCCCTGTGGGCGCAGGCTCTTCTCCTCGGCCATGGAGGAGACACGGGCCGAGAGACCACGCTTCCCGTGGAGGCTCTCCTTCCCTTTGTCTCCAGGGCCATCAGCCACGCCAGGACAGATGGCCACTGTCTCTGCAGCACCAGGGCTGACGCGCCCGTGGGAGCGCCTTACACGCAGAAAGTAGAGCTCTCACACGCATGCGCGCTGCGTCTTCCGTGGCCGTGTTTACCGAGAGCCTCGTGGGCGGTCTTGGTCCGTAGGTGTGACTCCCGGAGCTGATGAAGCTGGTGTCTATCCCAGCATTGGCTGAGCAGTCCTTTCTGAGAACAGGCATCTGGCGAGGCCATCGGGGGGTGGGCAGTGAGGCGTCATGCTCGTACTTGAGCTACTGCAGTGGGCCGAGCCCGTGGCCTGGCGGGTAAGGGAGTGACCCGATCCGGAAGGCGGAATGTCCGGCTGGAATCCCAGCCCTGGCAGCCTGAAAACATGCAGGGCGTGTGTGATGCGTGCTGGAATCCAGGATGGAGGGATGGAGGAGAGGGATGTGGGCGTGACCAGGCCTGACTGTGGGTGTCTCTTCCCTCTCCCTGTCTCTCTGTCTCTCTGGCAGAGCACACGCACCCTCTGACAACTGAAAGAGGCTCCTGAAGTAAGTGACCAAGGGGAATCGTGAGCCAGGAGCTCGCTGTCACGACACAGACTTCATGGTGCATCACTGTGAGCTCGTCCCCATAAATACGGTATTACATTTGCAAAATGCCCCCGTCCCCCAGCTGCTCTGTTCGATACTGTGGTTTTGAGTTCTACATCCGACAGCTGGGGTGTCACGTGCCGGGCCCCGCCGAGTTGGGAAAGGCAGCCTCGGATGGGTGAAGCTGGCTGATTTAATGGCAGGAAAAACAGGGCTTTTGTGGCCG